AGGTATTGATCAGCGATTGGTCAGGTATTGGTTAGGTATTGATCAGGTATTGATCAGCAATTGGTCAGGTATTGGTCAGGTATTGGTCAGGTATTGGTCAGGTATTGATCAGCGATTGGTCAGGTATTGGTTAGGTATTGATCAGGTATTGATCAGGTATTGATCAGCGATTGGTCAGGTATTGATCAGGTATTGATCAGCGATTGGTCAGGTATTGATCAGGTATTGATCAGGTATTGGTTAGGTATTGATCAGGTATTGGTCAGGTATTGATCAGCGATTGGTCAGGTATTGGTTAGGTATTGATCAGGTATTGATCAGGTATTGATCAGCGATTGGTCAGGTATTGGTCAGGTATTGATCAGGTATTGGTCAGGTATTGGTCAGGTATTGATCAGGTATTGTTTGTCTGCAGGGTCTGATCTTCGTGGTGGACAGTAACGACAGAGAGAGAGTCACTGAATCGGCCGAGGAGCTCTCGAAGATGGTGAGTGACACTGAAATGCCTCTGTGACTCTGCCCCCCTGAGGGCCGGCTCGACCAATCAGATCAAACAGCTAACAGGAAGTGTTGTGTATGACATCACGGGTCACATGACTGTCCTCTCAGATCCAGGAAGACGAGCTGAAGGATGCAGTTCTGCTGGTGTTTGCAAACAAACAGGACCTTCCCAACGCCATGGGGGTCAGCGAGCTGACCGACAAACTGGGCCTGCACAGCCTGCGCAGCAGAACTGTAAGGTCCAATCAGCAGCTGCTTCACTGTCAGGTGTCCTGCAGCCACACTCACCTGTCTGTCTGTGTTTCAGTGGCACGTCCAGGCCACCTGTGCCACCCAGGGGACGGGTCTGTACGAGGGTCTGGACTGGCTGTCCAACGAGCTGTCCAAGCGTTAGACCAGCTGACAGGAAGATGAYGTCACCGTGTACAAACCGAGGAGGAGGAGGAGCTTCTCACAGGACTGGGTTTTGTTTTTTATAAATTATAAAGGTGTGCAGGAAGTGATGTCATGGACTCTGAGCTCACCTGGTTTCCCATCATCCTCTTCTTCTGCAGCTGTTTGATCTGTTTTTCTTTTTAATCTGCATGTTTTAACTCCGTCATGTGACAGGAAGTTGTAGGGAGGGGGGGTGGAGAGGCGGGGCTTACGACAGGTGGCAGTTACCTGGTCATGTGATGACTCATTCCACAGGGCGGGACCTGACGGCCTCGTCATTCCTTATTAATGTGAAGAAGAAGAAACGCAGAGACCGCCAYGATGCAATAAAGTTTTTTTTCTTCTCATCTTGTTTGTTTGAATCAGTAAATAAAACAACACAGCTGTTTACAAACTTTATTTACAGAAATAACCAAGAACAGTCCTCCTCCTGAGGCTCCGCCCTCCACGCTGAGGCTCCGCCCTCCACGCTGAGGCTCCGCCCTACGCGCAGACGGCCTGGTGCTGGTTGTTCTGACGTTTCACCACGAACACTTTCTGACCCGAGATGGTCGCCACGTAAACAAAGTCGTCCAGGATCACTGCAGAGGGAGGGGCACAGTTAGCCTGCTGCTACCTGGGCTCAGGTGTTTCCAGGTGGGAGGAGTCACCTCYGTTATGATGTCATCAGCTGACAGATTAAAACTAATCAAACTAGACAAATTAGGTAAAAACAGTAAATTCAAACTAAAAGCTAAAGTGAAGAACCTGAGAGCAGTAAGGTGTGTGTTCACCTGCTGGACCGGACCAACACACTGCTTACCTGACATGCGCTTGAAGGGGGCTTCGGCTGATCCTGATAACCTGAAGCGACAGGCGGTCCGAACCATCTGCATGATGACTCCGGCTGTGTGTTCATCGTTCTCCAGCTCACCTGCAGACTGGACAGGTGAGGGTCTGTCAGGCTCCGCCCTGAAACAATCAGCTGCTCTTTAATCTAACAGCTGACTGTTTACTGATGACGTCACTCTTAAGACTGGAGCCACTTCAACATAAAGTTTATACAAAATAAAATAAAACTATGTTTATATAAAATAAAAAAAATAAAACTTTATATAAAATAAAACTGTTTATATAAAGTAAAACAATGTTTATATAAAAACAATGTTTATATAAAATAAAACAATGTTTATTTAAGGAACTTTAGCAGCAATAAAAACAAAGATTAAAGTTTAAAACTAAATAATTTAGAGGTAAATGTGTCGGAACCGTTCTCGGCCCGTACAGAACCAGAACCTGTGAAGACTCACGGCCAGGACTCCGTCCTCACTGATGACCAGGTACCCGAGCTGGTCCGGGATCCGGTCCAGACCCGCCGTCAGCGCCGCCGTGGTCTGAAACACAAAACCGGGAGCAGCTAAAGCTAACAGGCTAACCGGAAACAGTCCGAGCTTCCGTGAACGTCTCTTTGTTTTTATCAAAATGAACATTAAAACAAACAAAGTGTAAAAACTCACCATTTTTCTTCTTCTTCGCTGCCGTTTGCACAAACTGCAGCTGACTTCCGGTTTTTCTTTCCGCGTGACTCCTCACGTGACCTCTGACGGAACCGCTCACATGACCGACTGATCTGTGCGGAACCGAACGAGCAGCTCCGGTGATGGCGGGCCGCGGAAAACTGATCGCTGTCATCGGCGACGAGGACACCTGCACGGGCTTCCTGCTCGGCGGGATCGGAGAGCTGAACAAGAACCGGAAGCCCAATTTCCTGGTGGTGGAGAAGGACACGAGCATCACGGAGATCGAGGAGACGTTCAAGTAAGGCCCAGCTGACACACACACACACACACACACACACACACACACACACACACACACACAC